TGCGATCTCGAAAACTAACCCGTTTTCTCACCACCTGTCTAAGTGGAACTTGTTCCAAATTTGGACTTTTAGCGCTTTTTTGTATATCTTTGAAAAGATTCGAACGAATTTTTTTTCAAATCTCTATACATAATCTTCATAAATGAATTAAACTTAGAGGCGTTAGCGCCCGCGTGAATTCAGTTGCTAAGTCCAAGGGAAAACTATTAACGGTTATTTCTAGGAAGGGTCTAATTAAGTCACAGTATTCAAAATAAGTGAACCAACATGCATCTTACATTTCTTAATTTCATTGTCATTAATACAAGCGCTTTTGACAACATTAATTTATTAATCAATTCCAATGACATATACCTTCACCCTATAGTAAGCTAAACCCCCGTGCAAACAGACGCAACATTGTTGGGAGTAGTTGTGTTCGTTTGCACGTAGCTGAAAGTTTGACTGGTTTCAAACTTTGCGCAACAACTCCCAACAACATGCAACAACAAGCAACAGGGTGTGCAAACAGACACAACGTGTAACATCTGTTGTAAAGTATTTAAGAATGTTCTCATCTTTAAAGTTTATCTACACTAGGTTTAAAATGAATAGCAAATAAATCTTTGTAGAAGTTACCAGCACCGAAGCATGTTTGGTGCGTGACACCAAAAAGGAATGCTGTTTCATTGAAAAAGGTCATTCCTCTTGATTTTCAGCAGTTTAACCATTTCAAGTGTTCAAAGATGTGCTTTTGTGCACGTATGCTAGCTCTTGAGTGAAAAGGAAGAGCATTTTATAGAAAAAGTGAACTCCAGATCGTTTTATTGATTTCCGGAGGGCATATTAGTGGACAGTTTCTGTCCACCAATATGGCGTCTCCATACAAAGCTCTAACGAAGGCACGTGAAATGTTTAGGCAAATAACTTAGAAACTGTGGACCACAAAGACCTGAGATTTGGATAAATTGTTAGTCTGTTACAACATTTCATTTTCTTGGCTTCTTCAACAGGACGGTTTCCAGTTTATTTTTTGTGCCGTGTTTATTGCGTGACAGTGAAAACGAAGAATTGTCAGAATATTGCTACTTTATCATAGGTGGCCGTTTTTGTCATGTCAGCGCTGACAATTGGTTCATTAGTCTCGTTGAAGTTCCTGTTTTGGCTTGTTAACCAGCGTTTTAGTTTTTCATCGGTTTGTAGCTTTTTACTGATCACAACCGTGTAGGTTCAGAGATACCAAAACATTACCCACACTGAGTTCACCCTGTTTTTTATTCCCAGCGTCAGCTAACTCAAGCATGTCCAGCTTTGGTCAGCTATTTGACTTAGTTTAGATCAAGGATTGAGTAGAGGAGAAGAGTAAGAAGATTAAGATTGTTAGCAGACGTCAAAGAAGATAATAAATAAAGACCAAGATGTTAATCAGATTCCTAGTACCTCATCGTGTAGCGAGCGAGTTGATTGAACACCCTCCAAGAACGGCCAACAATGTTGTGTCGGTTAATTACACGGTGCTTAAGTGCTGGGCAGTACTGTAGTTAAAACGGTATTGAAGGCAGTCACTTGCAAAGTACACTATATTGTCGAGACTAAAACGAAATAGTTAAGGAATTGTGCATTATCAAATGTACTCTCATCGTCACATATCTCATTTTTCAGTATGTCAACACAACTGGAGCTCGAGTGTGCTTAAAGGAGTTGTACAAGTCAAAGTACGACCCTCTCTCTGTGTCATATACTGTCTTGTCAGGTAAGAACGGTTTAATGGCATTCTTTTTTTTAGCAACACATAGGTTTTACTGATTACTCACAACTAATTCATTATGAATGCATACAGAGATAACTTATATAGGTGGGTCATTTCATTAATAGAGGAACGCGATCATTTTAAATATTACCTCCCTGGAATTCGTTCAATGTTTTTGCTACTGATTATTCCATTTAATCAGTAGATACTGCTCTCAATTTGGCGTCGTCAGTTTTATTTTCCTCTTTTCCTCCTGCTAAGCGTATCGGCCCCACAAGCAGTTGGAATGATGTTTTTGAAGCTGCCTCGTCCCCAGTCGCTCGCGTTGCTTCCCTGCATTTCTCGCGCTTCTCGATTGTTCTGTTCTCCCTACTAAGCCTTGGGAAAGCCTGTGGAGAAGGCACTCTTTAAGGGACCAATTGTGTGGAGATTTCTAAACCGCACAGTCGTTTTATATCTTTATCACAGATATTTGCCAGCCAAGATGGAGTTTTTTTGGTGGCTACTGTTACTTCACAAGTCGTGCATGCGCCTCGTGGCTGACCGCTGAGTCAAACTGTTCTACGATGAGTTCCAATTTGGTAACGGTTCACGATCAGGAAGAAAATGTCTACATTCAACACCGTCACAACGGAGAGAGATCTTGGATTGGACTCAATGACCGAAGTGTGGAGGGCTCCTTTGTGTGGACAAACAAAGAAATAAGCAAATTTAGGTTCTGGGCCACACAGCAACCGAACAACTGGAAAAATGAAGACTGTGTTCACACTCTTGGCGCCAAGCATGGTTACACTTGGAATGATGTGCCATGTACTAACTGTTACAACTACACTTGTTTTAAAGGTAATAAGCGTAGCACTATGAAGATTTATAACCGTATATATCTTAACCTTCACGTTCCAGATAGTGAATCTACTGAGTTAAAACTACGTTCAAAAAGGTCGAAACACAATTACAGCATGTTAGGCAGATGGTTAGACAGATTGCACGAAAATGAAGAGAGGGTAACACCAATCAGTTTCATTATAATTAGAAACATAGGGAAACAAGTCGTATACATTTGCATTAAAAAAATGTCCACTGACCTAAAAATGCCCGCAAAAGCATGAAATCGGCGTAATCAAAAAGAGAACGAGAAAGCGTTCATAAGTTGGAACCAGGGGAAAAGTCGCGCCAACCTCCGCTTACCTTTTAACCCGGTTTTCTAAACACCTCTTTACAAATTATTAACCAACATAAGTACATACGTTAACTCAGGGCACGCATACGACCCTTTTTGCAAGTTCCTTTTTTCAAACATTTTTTTTTTTGCCTTGCCAGTGTACGTCAATTACCCAACTACACCACAGTATATTCTTTTTAAACAAGCTTCATTAACCAAAAAAGTCATGTTGTTTGACAAGAAGCCTCTGTGTGCTTACTTTTTAGACTTGGATGAATGTACCACTGGCTCCTATTCCTGTGACGTCAATTCTGTTTGCCAGAATACCGTGGGTTCATACAAATGTTCGTGTAATGCTGGGTACACAGGAGATGGAAAAGCTTGCAATGGTATTTGAGATACAGTTGATCCTCCATGTGCCACCACCTCTCCTAAGCGACCCATAAGTCGACATGGAGCTACACATTTCGTAATTTTGAAATTGCACGCAATAAATTGTTTTCCAAAGAGACGACCTGTTAATGTTCGATTTTTGTAAACGTGACCAGGGTCTAATCTGTCGTAAGACCTAGGACTCCTTTCTCTTCTGTTTTCTTTTTGTCTTATTGTCCTATTTGATTTTTAAATGCCTTGAATCAACCCCTTATGAGTTTCTGGTGTAATTTAATGTTTTTTTCCCTTCGTTTCTATGTAAAAAAGGCAAAAAAATCGATTACCTATTGTACTTAAACAGGATTAACGCATAGAGAGAATCAGAGTAAATGACCTTATTGACCAAGAGTTTGCTGCATCACTAAACGAGAAGCCTTCTTCACTTTTTTCTCCAGATATCGACGAGTGCTCTACCAACTCTCACAGCTGTGACGTAAATGCCGAGTGTAGTAATACTGTTGGATCTTACGCATGCGCATGTAAAGCAGGATTCACAGGAGATGGATTCACATGCACTGGTGAGCCGTTTGAGTACAATTTTGTTTGTTTGACATGTTTGTTTTTTGAGTGAACCGGCAGCAACGACAGCAATGCAAAAGCCTTTTGTGCTCTTCTCGCCTTTTACAGTTAAAGTTTTGGTTAGGCTGGAATTTATACTAATTTTAGTATTGACTATCTAGTAAACAAAAACAAAAGCGGAGCCAAGCGGCAAGTTTATATGATAAGTGCAACGATGGTGATTGTTCAAACCTGCGAGTACTATTTTTTTTTGGCCAAAAAGTCAATTGGTTCGATAACTTAACCGTAAAACAATGAGAAATAATGATAAACAATGATGTGTTATTATTTCTGCGACCAATGAGGAAACACCTTACGAGCAGCTCTTCCATTACTGTTTTTTTTTTATTTGTTTGTTTGTTTTTTTGCATCACGCTTAAGATAATTCATTCCGTTTTTCTCGTTCTGTTTTCTCTTAGCAATGAAAACTGTTTTGATTATACATGGCATTTTTCGTTTTGTAGATATTGACGAGTGCGCCAGCGGTACTCATAACTGCCATAGCTCACTTGCTTCATGTACAAACACAAGGGGATCTTTTAGTTGTTCATGCGACAATCCTTACACTGGAAATGGCAGAACTTGCAATCTAGCATCAGGTAATCAACTCGCCGAATATTAGGAAGATGTCCGTTTACTAAACCTCTAATAATTATGCCGGCAGAGGGGACGTCGTTACATCCGGTAGGATTGTCCTAATACTCATTTCGTACCTAAGTGACTAAACCAGCCTTCAACAAATGTTTGAGCTTCTCACTCTTCTCACTCGTTCTATGAACTGTTTATGACTAAATAAGGTTATCTCAATATAAGCTTCAATAGAAGACGAACACTTTGAGCTTGCCTTCGCCATGTTAAGGCGGGAATAAAGAAATCATTATATCGATCATGATATGTGCACTATTACTTTTAATCAGGCGAGTTTATTTCCTTAATTTTGCCGATTAACTGCGAATGCGGTTAACTACCCACAACGTTATGTTGAACAGAGGAAGACTTAAGTTAGTGGTCTTAGTTATTTGGCGATAGGGTAAACATATCTTTTTTGTCGACTGGAGATATAAACTGCATGCATTCGGAGATAGACCCAAAGCAAGAGACAGACAGTGTTCCACTAAATCCTAATTCGCTAGTATCTTTTCCTTTTTTTTGGTATATTGTGTCTTATATTTTGTTTTTATTCATTCACGGTGACCTTTGAAAGAAATTCAGTTTGCTGCATCCGCTTTCCTTTCCCTTACAGTGTATTTTGTTTCGCTCTTCTTTTACTTTATTCTTATTTATTAATTCTGTGCAAATTTGTTTTACGACATTTTACCCAGAACGCCAAACGAAGATAAACACGACTTCAATCAGTAATATATTCGTACCGTGCTCAAGTCACTTTTTTTTTTGCATTGGGGAGTTTAAGCATTGAAGACCGCCACAGTAATAAACTTAGATTACCAACATTGCACGTTTATCATGCTTGACTGGATAACGTGAAACTTCCTTGAAAAACATATCAATATTTAGTAGGCGTATCGTCCAATGGACTTTACGAATTTGAACACTTGGGGCGGGAACGGGGGGGAGGGAGGGGTAATTCGGTCTGGGGGAAAATACGAGTTAGAATGGCTGAGTCAATTTAATGCAGATAAGGATGAACGTTTTATATAAATAGTAATAAAAATGAACTGTTCCGGCGGATTGTTCATTCAAAATTAAAACCATCCTATTTTCAAATTAAGACGTATTACCTATCTGACCCAAATTATCAAACGGATAACCCATCCACTCTCCCCGGGAGAGCGGCGGAAATGGAGTCTAGGTCAAAACTAAAAGGAGCTTGTTTGTCATCCTAATTTGCAGCGAAATGAAAAGTCAAAACTTGAACCAAAAAAAAAAAATCAAAAACAAAAAAAAAATTCACCCTAAAAAAAAAAACAACAACAACTTTTGCCCGAAAAAAAAAACCTTATTCCAAAAAAAAAAAAAAAATTGTCGAAGTTTTTTAACTGATCGGGACAAACACCAGGCCAATCCAATTTCACCACTGTCATCGAGCCAAGAAGAAGCTGGTGAAGTGAGACACAAACAGTACTTACATATACCCGTCACTGACCGGTTTGCAATTCCGCAAAACTTCTCAATTTCCATTATGTCGCGTCGCATCGAGGTTCGGTGTAGCGACACTCTCTTCAAACGCTTTTTTCCCTCTTTTTTACGATTCAGAATAACTGTAGAAAATTCTTTTATTTGGATAGCCATTTTGCGAAGGCAGGTAGACGCTTAGGGCCTGTTTACGTGGAGGTGGGGGTGGGGGTCCCCAGGTGGGTGAGGTGACCCGCTTAGGTAGGGTAACCCGCCTGTCCATACAATCTCTCATATGCAAGAGAGGATAAAGGGGACAGAGAAGGCATCCCCCATACACACCCTATTCCATAGGTATTTTGTCTCGAGTTATTTTTAAGACCACAGATCCCAAGGGGGATTAGACAACAGCCAATCACATAGCGCGAATTTGTTCCGCGTGGATGACCCACGCTCAGAGCCACGCGTCCTTCACGAATTGAGGCAGAACAAAATGGCGGAAGACACGGAGACCGATATTACTATTCGTTTTGTCGACGAAAACGACTACAGAGAGATTTCTGCTAAAGCTGTGTCAGCGAAACGGAAATTAAAAAAGAATCGTCCTTCCTCTCTTGTATAGAGCTAACCGTACAGCAGGGAAATCCTTAACACACTGAATATTATCTCAGGATCATTTATAATTTACAAATCGAAGAGAGCAATTTCTGGTTTGATATTTATTCCTTATTAGTCTTTTATCATTCAACGAAAATAACACTTGGCGTCCTACCTGCTTTATTGTACAAGCGACCAGTTTCAATAGACCGGCGAGAGAAATTTCTCATTTTATTGAAGCGCTGAGGTTACGACAACTTCGAGTAAACTGATTTCATTGCCTTTCGCCCGACATGTTTTGCACGGCGTTTAGTCATGCGAAACCTCCACTAAACATCCACGCAGCGCGCGAGGTAACTTTATCCCGATTCTAAAAATAACTCGAGACGAATTACCTATGGAATGGGGTTTGTATGGGAGATGCCTTCTCTGTCCCCTTTATCCGCTCTTGCTCATATGGTCATCCCAACTATCATGTAAACTAGATCAAATTAAAATGACAGATTATATATCCAGGCGATTTACCCACCTTTCATGTGAACTGGTCTTTAAACTGTGGCACTTGAGGTTGTACAATGTATTTGCATCATTATATCTGACCAACCTTTGATGTTTTGGTTGCTTTTTTGTTCCGATTTTATTGCTATTTTTTTTAATTAAAAGGCGAAAACCGTTATTTAGCAATCCTATTGAAATGAAATATTATGTAATTTATAGTCATAGTTTATCAGCCGACCCCATAAAATGGCTTTTTAGCCAACTTCACGATTACAATTTGATAAAGCAAAATTATCTACTTTACAATATGTGAAATTTGTTGAGGAAAAAAACTTGAACAGAAATTTTTTGGGTGTTGAATGCCCAATGAAACTAAATGACATCGACGAGCAAAATTAAGCTCTGGCGGTATAATTGAATACTGCAGGAGCCTGCGTATCAGGCGTTTGAGAAATATGGTTTCTATGGCGGCCAGCGGAACAAACGAGAGAGAACGCGCAAGCAAGCGGCAAAGCAGCCTTTCTATATCGCCTCAGCCTTCGAAAGCAGTCGTTTCTGCTCGCTCCTTGCCGCTAGGGACAAGCGTTGTAAAACTTTTTAACCGCAGAGTTATCCAAGGCTTCCCATCTTCTTCAAGTTTTGATCATTTTAACTATTGTCTATTTTAATGTCAGAATGTCAAAATTACCGGAGTCTGAACAATGCTGACAGGAAGATAACTTATGGAAGGCCCAACAATTATTGTGATAGAGGTATCGGCCCTGGATGGTTTCGTTTTGAAGGGTCCGCCGGCACAAGAATGCCAACTTCATGTCCACCTACCTACAGGTGTAACACTGATGCAACCGGCTGGGTGAATGGTGGACACCCCACAGTAGCAGACGGTCAGGTCAGCAGGACGGTGTGTTTTCACTGGGATAGTAACTGCTGTAGGTGGTCAACAAACATCAAAGTGAGAAATTGTGGTTCATATTATGTGTACTATCTTGGTGGTACACCTGCTTGTTACCTCCGTTATTGTGGTACTAACTAAAAACAAGGTGCAAGTAAAGTATTACATATTCTATTATTTCACTTAAGGAGGCTTCATGGTAATAAAGAAAGAAACGAAAACAAAAAACAAAAAAACAAAAAAAGTGCACTTAACTTCAGTATCTAAATTTATAACTTAAGCAAAGGGAGGGAAAAAAACTATATAGTACTTAAATATAGCACAACGTACTACTCGCGTTGGCAAGCAAAAACAGTTTTCTTGAAACTTAATATGAGGATAGATTTTCTTTTAAGACCAAATAAGAAATAAATTGGTAAAAGAACTTACAAGGAAGTCAAAATAATACATTAAATTAGCAATGCAGTTTTCTGTGTAACTTGTCACGGTGACCAGAAGTATACACTGAAGCACATGAACGCCATACAGTTGCTAAATAATCTACGATAGACAGGCGTTTTAACTCAGAAGATGTGCCGGGAAAGGATGGGTATGAATCTGCCTACTTTTTTCAATATTGATCTGTATAGGGATGCACTCTATAAAATCGAAAACGAAATGCATAGACTATAGGTACAGTCAACTCTCTTCTTGCGGTTCATATTATGTGCTATTACTACCTTAGAGGTACATCTAATTGTGATCTCCACTATTGTGGAAGTAATTGAACACAACAAGTATTGGCATATCTCCTTTTAGCATATACACACTCAGTGATCTTGGGGATTCAAGCGACCTGATTGGTTCCCTATGACGTTATATTCACCGCGCTAGGCGGTGAATATAAAACAAAACAAAATCGCTGTCGTAAACTGGGTGTTTTGCCAAAGTTTCAGAGTAAGACGGAACTTTTTAAAAATACAAGCAGATCCTAGTCTTGATGATTTTTAATGTTAAAGAAAAGACTTCATGGTGTATAAACAGCGCGATTTATTGTGAAGTGATTCATTGTAGCTGACTTTTTATACGCTCGATCGGCAAAGTTTACCACTACAGAGGAAAACGAGGCCGCCTTCTGACTATTTTGTGAACTTGGGATTTCCTCGCAAGACTATTTTTGCCTAGAAATAGAAGCTAATTTATGGACAACATTGTACGTACCAACAAGTTAAGAATTAAGGCAAAGAACCCTGCAGATATTAAACAACGCTCACTTTGATCGAAGCCGCTATTGACATCGTATGCAAGAAGCGACAAAAAAACGTTCTCATTCATTGGGACAGAAGCAAATAAAGCTTTACGTTTCTTCTCAGAAGGGGTAGTAATTTAAAATTTCGACGTTTTTTTTTTAAACCATGGATGTTAAAGGTTAAAGGTTACAAAAAGATTAAAAACTAGATTTGACATGTTTGAAAATACTGTAAATATCTAACTTTTGCGCGTCTTATGTTTACGGCTACATGTCCACGCAAGAATTCATCTTGACTTTCTCAAAGCCCGTTTCTGGTTTCTGCTGGTTAGGTGGTCAGTTGGGAAACGAACTTTCCTCGCCTGCAGTACGCTATTTTTGACCGGTCAGTTTATTTTTTCTGGCCGGGGGTGTGTCGTTGTAGGGATGCATCCAATCAGAAAACGCTCTATCTTGTGACGTCAGTTCTCGGGAAACTTCATCCAGGCGAATCCTTCGCTTGGCACGCACTTATAGCTTTGAAGTGCAGAGAGCGTAGGAAATGAACTGAACGTACAGAAAGCGATTAACTGTACGTTATATTAGTGGTCGAGATTTCTAGATGGTTGCGTCGACAGGCTCAGAGAAAAGTCTATCATTTCACATCGCGCCGCTTGAGAACACACAATAGCAGAGGCGTCCGATCAGGCCATAATAATGTTTGGGTGGACTTTTTTAATTGATTTCACCAAAGGAATATAGGTTGAACAGCGATGCTACTTGCGAGTTTTTAGATCACTTGGTGTGTATATATTAAACATTCGTATTCACCTCAGCCTCAGTTAATATTTAACAATTATTCTTTGAAATCGAGGTGAATAGTTGCAAAATATTTACCGAGCCACGAAGTGGCGAGGTAAATATTCCTAAAGCCACTATTCACCGAGATTGAAAAGAATAATTGTTTTAGTATATACACACGAAGTGATCTCAACAAAATCGGAGAGGAAACCATTAAAAAGTACGATTTGATTGACAGATCAGGTCAGCTAGAAACGCGACAGTTTAAAAATAGATCTTTGTATAATTTTCAAACATGGCAATTCACAAGCTTATCACCTCGCAAACAACAGCGTAATGACTTAAATGGAACAGCTAAAAGTTTGAATTGTTTCCTTACCTGAGAGGAAAAGAAGAGCTTTGTTGTTTTCTGTTGACTCGCCAAGTTTATAGCTGGAAAGGTTTGTTGTGTCGTTCTTCGCATGAAGTGCTGACAAAAATGGCGATTCCGTTCCTTGAGGTAACACGTCGTCTTCATGTAGCATTCTTTCTCGTGTTTACTTGAAACGTAGAATTTCTGCAAAAATTTCCTTTCAAATTTGTTTGTCATAAATAAATTTCGTCTTTGGGCCAAATTTTTCTAGTTAGGAAACGCTGAGTTCACGAAACGGCCTCTTCTAGGCGAACAAACGGGAGTTGTAAACAATCCATCGACCACAAAACTCAACAACAGTAAATGGAAAAACGCCGTTTTGAATCCTTCGAAGTCTTTTCTTGCCTGAAAAAAAGTCAACCCTAGGATTTTGTCGACTTTTATAAGATCTTTCTCTAAGAAAATGGGAAAAAAACCGAGCTCACACATTATCCACTCGCTGGGAGGTGAATATTGTTGAATAGTCAGAGATAGCGAACCAATCAGATTGCTTAAATCACCAAGATCACTGAGTGTGTATATACTAATATTGAATATAATCAATTGACCTCTAGAGTTTTTAAATATTTTATTAAATGTGCATCTCAAAATACCTTAAACTTCAATTCAGTATCTAGTACATATTAGCAAAGACAGAAAAACGACTGCATGGTTAATAAAGGCAATAAAGTCACGTATCGGCAAGTAGAGCAGTTTACTGATAACAAATAATAATAATGATAATATAATAATAAATAATATTATTGATAATAAGTTAAACGAGGACCTAAGAACAGTAGTGCCCGTAGGGAACTTTTGGCGTCTATACTTTGACTTATGTAATATGTTTTTAGGATCATGTCTATATGTTACTTCATCTTGATAGTTTTCATTAATTTTTTTATTTTTTTTAATTTTTTTTATATTAAGAGTATTGTAATTATGTCTTCTTCTGATGGTTGTAAATCAACTTTCAAAATCCCAATTTGGGATATGTTAATAAACTTATTATTGTATTAATAATATGATAAACTTATTATTATTATAATATCATAAGTGACGAATTAGGCCTTAATTTTGGCGCGAAATTTCAGCGTTGATTTGTAATTTGACATGTGAAATTACAAAATTGCCATGGCAACCTTCCGTACGTCTCAGTGTCAAGATTGCGACGAAGTTTTAAATGTCATGAATGAAGATGTCAGGGCACAAAAAGACGCTTTAAAAAAACCTGAACACACGAAAGAGCACAACAAGAAGGATTCTAACAGGTATTTTGTCAAAAAACTCTGAACTTAAGCCAAATTTAAGCTCTAACGTTCGAGAGAGTGCAGGAGTTCTCGATCGATACGATCTAGGATAAACATGTCAAAACTCCTAGATTACTAACGTAATTCGTCACCCATGATATTAACAGGTAATCAAATGGCATACGCGTGAAATTAGGGAATAATTTCACTTGCGTTTTGTCCAAATCCTAATGATTTCACGAGTTTCGCCTAAAGGCGAGGGAAATTATTAGGATTTGGACAAAACGCAAGTGAAATTATTCCCTAATTTCACTCGTCACTATTTGATTACACATACTTATATTATAACATTTTTTATAGCGCTCCCATACCTGAGTTCTTGGCTCTCTGCTATGTTATATTAGGCTGATTTAAAGATTTCCAGTGGACGAAAATCGGTAACAGAACTTTCTATAACAAGTCAAACTAGGTATATAACTGATTTAATGAAGGTTGCTTTGTACATCGGGAACTGGCAATTGCATGTTTATGCGGCATTTGGGCATGCGAAACTCTCAGCAATGATTTGCTTCCCTGGCCACCAAACAACAACTGCCAAGGGTACAATCCCAATCTGAAGCAATATTTATTGATCAATTAGCTATATATAGAACACCCTGAAAAAGAAATCAATAAAGTTAAATGTTGCGAACGCTAAGAAGATCATCAGAGCTTTAGACTCAACTTTTGCATTTGCGAAATGAAAGGGTTAAATAATTCAGGCTTGTGGTCCTTGTGCTATGTCCTGGATTCGAAGCCCTGATCTCGCTGTGATAACGGTTCAGCGCTCTACTTATTGAGCGAACAAGCTAACTAGGAGCAGGTAATTGAGTTGGTTCATTTGACGAACGATAAGTTTGACAGCCAACTCTCAGTAGTACTCCTTAGTTACCATGTGAAGTACATCTAGCCGATTGTTTGAAAACTAGCCTAACGAGACTTGCAGCTATTTGAGTGATTTACCAATCTCAAGTCGACTGGAAATTTTTCTCTATCTCCCTCTCTCTGATAACAGTAGAGACCTTACGATCCGACAACGGCAACGCCAATGAAAACGTTGCTGAAAAATTGACTTCGCGTCCTTTAAAACCACTTCGCGATTATCCCAAGTCACCCAGTCACTTAAAGGAAGGGAATTTATGTTGGAGCTGAAGAGAGGGTGCCGTACCCGAGTGCAGTCAAAGATGGTAGAATTTATCGTCTTGCCGTTCCCTTCCTCAAAAAAAATACTTAAATTTGGTCATTTCACGTGGTAGTCGTGCACGAACGGCAAAGGAATGTACAATAAAGCGTGATGCCCGTGCAGAGTTGTTGTTTTGTTAACTAAAACTATTGCTTTTTGACGTTGCCGTTTCCGTCGACGTCGTAGTTTCGTAAGTTCCCCATTGCTAAACTGTGACAGTTTTGGAAGATTTTCCATTTATATTCCTTCTGGAAAGTAGAATTGCCGACCGATGCAGCAGCCGACATCTCGGTCGACTGTCGGTTGACATATCGGTCGCTATATCGGTGGAGAGTACGTTAGTCGAGTCTCGGAGGATCGAGTCTCGAACGAGAGTTGGTTACTACACTCTATCAGTCGACAGTCGGTCGATGGTTGGTCGTTACTTCGCCGTCGGATCACCGACACTTAGTCGATTTAACGGGCGACACCTCGGTCGACTGCCGTTCTACCTGGCTGTCGATATATCGACCGATATCGACTAACCCTTGACCGACTCACCACCAACACTCTACCGATGTAGCTACCCATATGTGACCGAGAGTCGACTGAGATATCGGCCGATACATCTGAAGACAACCCCTTATAAGACATATGATCCCCTGGGCTTTCTATGCGACTTTTCCAAATTAATGAGGTCATGTAGTTGTTAACTAAAGGCGGTGCAATGGACTTGCACTTAATTCGCCTTCACAATGTGTTACGGGCATAGTACATATAATTTTTGGCCTAAAGCCAATGTTCAGATATGAGGATGTATCATATCAATTGCTGAAGCGGGGAAAGCTGGTCTTTCTGGGGATAATCAAAGTTAAGACGTGGATTTTTGAAGTAACAAGCAATTTTATTGCACAGGATTACCCGTCTGCTAAGTGTGGTTATAACATTTAGACCGTTTCTTGATCTGAAGTATCAATCTTTTGACTGTAGCCTGTACCAGAATCATATACTCATATATTTAACCCTGAAGAACCCTGAAGCGTCCAAATTCCTTTCATTTGTTTAGAAACATGCTGGGGTTGTTTAGCCGTCCAATCAGAAGCTGACGAATTTTTTTTTTTTGCCCTAAATATGGAATCAGAGAATTGAAGGCATCCCTGTCTGAAAAGTAGCTGATAAAGAATTTTTGAAGTCCATAAACAGTTCTCTTAGTACATTCATAACTCAATAGTTACACACTCCGCCGTTTAACTTTTTTTAAAGAACAATATCAACGGACAAAAACATTTACATTTACAGGTAGCGGAGCCGACAAGTATGTTGTCATTTGTGAGCGCTAAGCTGCACTATGGCATGTACTAATAACGTTTTTTCCAAAAACGTTCTGTAAAAAAATCGATAAGTAGTTTTCCGTCTCCAAGACCTTTGCAAAAAATATACTATATATGTTATTCAAAGCAACCTTTGAAAACTATCGGGTGAAAAAATAAGGTCGCGTAATGTTGACACAATCAGAACTCTTTTGAAAACGCGCGCAAGCTCACTGCGTGAAATAAGTAATTTAGTGGAATTTACAGGGCCACGATACTCCCATGGCACTTAGCAAATCGTATACCGACACGCGAGGTGTCATGAAACGCGGCGTTTCAGAGAGTGTCCGTGTCCCCGATACCTCTGTCGTGAAAAATCTGGACAAATCGTGGCCCGGACACGTCTTCTGCGGTGTGTCAAGAAATATACGAGCTCTGATTCTTAACGATATCAGTTAGCCAAAGCTATGTCGACTTTCGACAGTGAGGTAAAATGGCATGAAAACTGAAATTTAGGAAAAATTAAACTTTACCTAATAAAAACACAACTAACTCATTTACGCAAACTTTCCAAGGAACGCCGAGGTTGTTAAAGATTTACGCACTTGGCTTAAAGGTTGAATGAAGGTAACATAAGGTTGCAGCAACTTTACGCTCATTCTCTTACGCGAGATATGAAAGTTGAGTAACTGTAAGGTTGCCACGTGCACTCTGGTAGCAGGATCTGTTTTCTTTGTTGTTTTTAGCATGACCGAAGTAGTTTTCACGTCGCTAACGATGAGAATCGTTGGCTTGTTGTTTTTGGAGATCTTGTACTTCTGTTCGGGTGACTGGAAGGCATTGTTAACATAAATGGCCCGTCACTTACTCTTGAAAAATAATACAGTGTCTTTGTCACAACCAGTTAAACGGCAACAAATTCAAAACAGAGAGAACATGCGTGATAACTATTTCCTCACTTACGATGAACGACAGACGGCATTCACGAAAAACTATGGCTACTTAATTTCAACCGAGTATTGACTAACTATCTACAAATACTACATTGTTTTTTGAACTGCCTTTATCGCTTCCCGGGTATCGCCTCTGTCAGGAGAAGAAAAAAGAAGAAAACCTGGGGGTTATACGTTCGAATGAGGCCTGGAAATGAAACAATACAGCAAAGCAACTGGTCAGCGGGTATTCGCTCTCCACAGGTAGGTACTTTAAGTAGGGTTATTAAAGTGTATCAAGAAATGTATCAAAATAGCCATGTATACCCATGTATAGCCATGTATACCTATGTATAGTTATGTATACCCATGTAATGCCATGTATTGCCATGTATACCCATGTATAGCCATGTATACCCATGTATAGCCATGTATTGCCATGTATTACCATGTATTGCCATGTATTACCATGTATCACCATGTATTACCATGTATAGCCATGTATAGCCATGTATAGCCATGTATTGCCATGTATCACCATGTATTACCATGTATAGCCATGTATAGCCATGTATTGCCATGTATAGCCATGTATTGCCATGTATACCCATGTATAGCCATGTATACCCATGTATAGCCATGTATTGCCATGTATACCCATGTATAGCCATGTATTGCCATGTATACCCAGTTATAGCCATGTGTACCCATGTATAGCCATGTATTGCCATGTATTACCATGTATAGCAATGTATAGCCATGTATAGCCATGTATAGCCATGTATTACCATGTATGGCCATGTATACCCATGTATAGCCATGTATACCTATGTATAGCCATGTATACCCATGTATAGCCATGTATTGCCATGTATAGCCATGTATTGCCATGTATACCCATGTATAGCCATGTATAGCCATGTATTACCATGTACAGCCATGTATTACCATGTATAGCCATTTATAGCCATGTATTACCATGTATCACCATGTATTGCCATGTATTACCATGTATTGTTATGTATCACCATGTATTACCATGTATAGCCATGTATTACCATGTATACCCATGTATTGCCAGGTATGTCTGCTACCCTTTCCGAACCTTGCTGAGGAAAAAAGACACCCAAAGAACCATAGCATGTATTACCATGTGTAGCCATGAATACCCATGTAATGCGATGTATTGCCATGTATTACCATGTATAGCCATGTATAGCCATTTATTGCCATGTATTACCATGTATCGCCATGTATTACCATGTGCTGCCATGTATCTCTATGTATTACCATGTATTAATGTATTACTTTGTATTACCATGTTTTGCCATGTATTACTATGTATTACGATGCATTACTATGTTTTGCTATGTATAGCGATGTATTGCCATGTACTAGCTGCCATGTATAGCCGTGTACTGTCATTTACAGCCATGTACTCCCATGTATTACATGTATTGACATGTACTGCGTGTATAGCCATGTATTGCTATGTAGTGCTATTAATTACTCTGTATTGCTATGTATTGCCAAGTGTGACCATGTATTTACTATGTATGTCTTAAGCTGGATTAAAGTCTTTTTTTTGTCTGCTACATAGTTCAGGGGTAGCCCAAGAAAAGGCTTTTTTTCCGAATGAAAATATAGTTTTTTGGGGAGGGCAACGTTCTTTCAGGATTGTAAACGGATACTAGTTGACAAAGATATTTAAGTGCCATTCGTCACTTTAGAAAATACGCTCGTTGAAAGTCAGTTAAGAACTTATTGGTCCCGAAGAGCAGGGATTTCGCCCATAAGGCGAAATTCCGAGGAAGCACTCTATTAGCTCGCCCGTTTATTACGGAAAGTACTTAGTTGTTATTTATAGTCAGTATACCAGAAAAAAATATCGATTTCTTTTATAGATAGGGGCCGCAAGGGATAGGGGGTTAACGTTTTCTTTTGTTCGCGCCCGTAGATAAGACAGAAAATCCCGAAGGACCGCAAATTGGTAGATTTTTTGGTCATACTTCGTTTACCTTTTGCGTTACGCGTTATCAGTGACATTTTGTGGAGCAGCTGTTTTCAAAGTTACGCTCGTTAGCGCAGTTGAAGTTATAAGTTTCGTGTAATTGTGTGTATATAAACTTTTGAAGAGTTTGCCAGACATGAGTTCACATATATATTTGATTGGAAACAATTTGCTAGAAACCCTTTCTCTCCCTTTGAATTCATGCAAACATTAAATTTAATGACAACTGAGTTGCAATATTTGACAGTCGAAAGATCCAACAGTTATCACTTTAAAAAAAATCTTATCCTTTCTTTCAAGTCTTCTCCTGATGGCTGAGAATAATTGGACAGGTTTGTAGGCGCCCAGCTTCACGAGCTAGATCTACCACCCTTTCAAAATAGGGTACGTCGGTGTAGTTTCGGGTGTAGCCGAATTACACGCAGGAGTTAGTCAATATAGATAATATCGGTATCGATGAAAATCGTTAGCAATCAAGTCATTTTTTTTGATTGATAACACAAAAAGGTGAAAAAGTATCTAAGGAAAATCTGTTAGCCTGAATTTCAGACATCCCTTCGAGACGAAGGGATGTCTGAAATGCGAGAACTGAATGTATTTAACCTGAGCTGTTTTTGTTCAACATGAAGGGTTTTAGACAAAATTTTGTGTGAGTAATAGTTTCCACATTTCCCATTTTCTGTTTGTTTATCAGTAGTTACTCGTGGATATGTTTTCTTAGCTGTACTATCTAGCTTAAGCCAAGAAACAACCATGATTGACTTACGTTATCAATCGTGAAAATCATGAAAAATCGTCAATATCGATTTGACACAGCAATTTATGTTATCGATTTTCACCGATTCCAGTTATCAATTGGAATTTAATCACTTGATTGCTACCGATTTTTATCGATTGACTGGCTCTTGAATACCAGCAAGAAAAGGAAAATAAGGGATATTTAAAAAATAGCAAAACGTATATTAAGATTTAATGAAAAAGGTACAAAATTGCTTTAACCTGTTCTACCAAATGGAAGCGAAAGAATCACTTCGGTTAAACTATGATATTCAATGGATATCTCGCATGCGTAATTTATAATTTGAAAAGAATAAATCCCTTTTTAGGCTTCCCTCAGAAATGAATCTAAAGAAAGACAATTGTTTCAGCATTTTCGTCCAAAAAAAAATAAATAAAACGATCCTTTGCATTTAAAAGAACTGATTTACTTGACATACCAAATAAACACACAAGTTTGATTGAATTTTTTTCTTTGTTTGTTTTTTATTCCTTCCCATGCATATTTATTAACAGTGTTTAATTGAAGTTTTCTAGTAATATTTTCGTTATCATTTTATACCAACAAAGAACACTGAAAGACCGCTATATATGTCTTCATAATAAATGGTACTAAATGGTACTTGACATTAAATTTAACACTTCCCTCTCCAAGCCTAAGTCTGCGAATACAACCGTTTCCTTGCTCCTCGCCGCTATAGAGCGACGTTTCGAAACGTTAGTAGAGGCGATGAGGGAAGAAAGACGGCTGTATTCGCAGGCTAGTCAAAACCATTTGAGTAACTTGCCGGCTACTGTAAGTTGTTTGGTGCTCTCTGACACAAAGTAACTTAACACTAAATCTGCCTTTCAGTAATTAATAGCTGTCTTGGGCATCTTTTCTCGTCTTGATTGTGTCATCTAAAAATGCAAAATGTGTCTTTCAATCGAACAAAACACATAAAACCCAAGATCTCTCTGCAAAACAGAGGCAACTGCTATCATTCGTTCAATAGGATATATACTAGACTACATACTTGACGCAAAAAAGAAACTTAACACTAAATCCGCCTTTTAGCAAATGATATTGTTTCAACTTATTTAATATCGTCCCCAAATCGTCTACGTCTCTACTATCCTCGAAAACCGAAGTACATATCCAATGTTCGTTGATCCGCTACGTAATATTTTGCGTGACCTTCTTGGTCTATGTACTCTTCTAAAGCTTTCGTGATCTGATCTAGCTCTAGGTCATCCAAATCACCCTCCAATCCTCTATTAAGATAGGCACTCGTATGCTTCTACATGACTTTGCTGTGACCTAGGTTAGATTTTTTTTATTCTTTCTTCTGAACTCGTTACCTTGGATTGATGGCGATAGGACGTTCGATACATTGCTTCATCTAAATATCGTCCGGAAATTGTCTAGTAGGACTCTATTTGGTGCTCCTTGACACAACATATCATTGAATGCACCTTTCAACTATATTTTTTTAATTATATAAATATCGTCCTAAAATTACTTTCAAACACGAAAACATTAGATTGCCGAAAACATATCCAATGCTCGTTGATCCACAGCAGCAGTTTTCGGGACCCTCCTAGTCTATGTACTCTTCCAAGGTTTTCGTTATCCAATCAAATTCTTGGTCGTCCAAAAAAGCACCCTCGTTATTCTTTGTTAAGATAGGCCGTCAATACTGTATGAGTGCTTCTACACGACTTTGCTGTGGCCTCTATAACATTTTTATCTTTTCCTTTTAACTCCTTGCCATTATACCATGGTTAAGGATGTTAACAAAAGAATATTAACTAGTAATCTTTACAGATGGTGCTTTTCCTTATCCTTTGTGTTTTGACCAACAACACCGATGAAAGAAAGCTTTTGAATCCCTTCTTTAACTTCTGCAATTACTGCAAATTAAAAAGGATAAATTTTAAGTTTTATCTCTTGAAATTTGCATTTGCCGTTAAACATATGTGGAGAAGGAATGCAACAAAGTACATGACAATGAAATGGTTTAAATATTATATTCTTTATAATACCTCCTTTAACAGTGATCATCATAGATGACAAAATATCGGTTTTTTTCTGGTTCGTTATAGTATCTAAAAAACGTTAATATCTGGTCTCAGGAACCGTGCCGAGAAACAGATAATAGTTTAAGGGGAATCAAAGTTACTATTCTTTTTCAAAAGCCACAAATTTCTGGTGATTCGCCTCTTAAATCGAGTTTGAATTGTTTTTCAGTCCTAGGAGAACGTTATCCACCAAGGCCCGAAAACATCCTCCTCAACATCTTAACCTTTTAAGTGTTTACCTGACGAATTGTGCCCCTTCTTGTCCTTTTTCGTGGCTCTTGCTCGCTCGGTGTTGATGCATCTTTCAACATTTTAGCAGCGTTTTCTAGAGAAAAGGAATTGTCTGCGTTTCATATAACCCCAGGACAGTACAACAAACCACAAGTTTATGAATCTACTTCGCTCGTCGTTTCCATCGATTGTGAAGTCCGTATTCTGCGTGATATTTTACGTTAAAAATAATCGCAACGCCGTCTCGGGCATTTCTTCTCATCTTTATTGTGTCATCTAATTAATGGAAAATGTGTCTTTCTATTGAATAAAACACATAAACCGCGCGACCTCTCTGTTAGACAGAGGCAACTGTTACCATTCGTTCAATATGATATAGTAGACTATATACTACAAAAATAAATGATTACCTCGCATTTTCCTTTTCCTCTTAGCTGTTACTTTTGGGTTTTCCGAGTTTAAACTTGATTCCACCTCTAAACGTGAATGCACATTTATTTCATTCATAACTAGGGATTTATTTTGTCTTTAACATGTTCTTATTACGTTTAGAATAAGTAGTTATGGGATAATTATGCTCTGTCTGGGGGACAAGGAACTGTTATTTCAATGCTTTTATTAGGTCGTTAAGTATGTATTTTTTTCCTCTTACTTTGGGACCGAGGGATCTAAAAGAGAAGAAAATACATTGTGTTTCGTTCATTACCTTTTATTTCCTTCAGACACCAATCGTAGCAGTCTGATTTCCAATCTCGATAGGTAAATTTGGTCCTTTGTTTAACGATGATAATTGAAATTAAATTGTGATGGGTGAGCAAGAAAACGCTGATATAAAACATATCGGGTCTTTACCTTTGCTCATTTGTGCTAGCATCAAGTCATCAGGAGTCTACAAAGTTAAAAAAGAAAAAGATTCAGAATTATTCAATTTTTTATTCGCCGCTCCTGGTGATTGAGTTTCTCGTAGGAAACAGGGACTGTTTTTCATCGGTGAAATGTAACAGTCTACAATTAGATTGTAACCACATATTTCCATTCATAGATATTCTCAACCATTCCTGGAAAACTTACCACGGGATGTTCCTCATCGTGATTCTCTATTAAATCAGCGCACGTACCTAATAAAAGATTTTACGAAATAGAAACTAGTCATTATTGATGTCATTTATCCAGCACCTCTACCAAAAGCATGTGGTGTAGCACTAATTGACTTTAGTTTGGCATATTTTTCCCTACACAGCATAAGTTCGTTACGAGTTTTTACAATACCTTCAGTTTACCCGTCATTTTGCATTGGTTGCCTTTCGTGTTCAGCTACGAGTAACGAAAACGAGATTAGTTTAGAAGGGAACGTTGTAGACGTTACCGAGCTCATTTAATTTCCTTGTATTTCCTATATACAT